GATACAGCGAGGGAGCTATATATCATAACGGGTGCCTTGGAAAGCAGATTTATGGAAAAGGCTGAAGTGTAATCTCGCAGGGACATTGCTTCTGAGCTGGATTGTAGGGAACAACTGCCTGGTACAAAGCACCCTAGGGAATTTATCTTGAGTACCTATTTGATGGAGAGTCCTTGAATCAATATTGAGGAAAGTGTGTTGTGTAAACTTAGTGAAGAAGTTTATGCCCTACAGAAAAAGTTCCAGGTTAATAAAATTAACCTAATGTAACAACCAAAATTTTAGTTGTAGCAGAATTTGTCTAAAAGGCTGTCTTTGAAATTCTACCCTTTTTTATAATAGCGATATAATAGAGATAAGATCAAATTGATACTCAGACATAAAGGAAAAGAAATATTGTGAAGGAGAGAAGAATTCATTCCCCCTTTTAATCAATCACTAACCACACTCTGTACTTAAAAATCAGAAAGTGCACAAGCAGCTTTTTTCCTTAAAGAGGGGAAAAGTACTCTCCTGGTGTAGATACGTATATTTTTCTGGATTATTCATTGCATAGAATTCTGTATAATAAAAAATAGCATAATCAATTTCAATAATGGGATGACCTGATTACGTAGAATCTAATTATACAGAAATTTTAAAATTTACATTGATATCATGTTTATGAAACTTTACCAATAATAATAATAGCAATATCATTTCCTCACCAATTACTACGATCAGGAACTATGCCAAGCATCCTATATACATTTTATCCTTTTCATAACACCTTAAAGATACTGAGATTTAAGAGGTTAAGAAGCTTCCCCAAGGTCACACAGCTGAATCTGAGAATCCAACACAGATATTCTGACTCTAAAGCCTTGGCTCTTAACCAATCTGCTCTTCTTTTCTGACCCACTAATTAATAGCTCTAGATAATGATTCTGCCATTGAGTTACCTTGGTAAAGTTGTGGGATAGAGACTGGATATTTCCTTAATTTAGTAAGGAGCAGAAATGGAAAGCAGAAGTGTCAGGATTTTGTACAAGTCCAATTCTTTAATATCAGTAGCTCAAATGTAGAACTGCAGGCCTCTGATGTCCAAAGACTGTGACAAATTCATTGGCGACTCAGAGGAAGTGGCTGATCCCACAGTAACGTAGAGAGGAGGAAGGCTGTGACTGAGTCTGCCAGGAAGGCTGCCCCCAGTCTGTGGACTGTTGCGCAGTAGCAGGGCTTACTATTGGGTGAGTTACAAGAGTGGGGTTCAATTGGTCAAAACAAAACAGAGAAGTTAAAGTTTAACTGCAGGAACAAGTCTCCAGGGAGGAGGAGGAAATGCACTTAGAAGTCAACAAAGAATTCTCAAAGTCATCCCCAAAGCAAAGAACCCTCAATCTACTCATCAGCAAAGAAAACCTAACGAACAAAACTGGGAATTCAGTGGTCCACCTGAGGTTCTTAGATATGGAAAAATGATTAATTCTAAGCTCCACTCACTAGCCAGGTTAGGGGTGCTATTATATAATAAAATTTTCTTATGTAGAAATCAGTATGAAACTGAGCCTATGAATGAGCAGATAGGTGATTGGTGAAGACTGGCAGAGTAAGAAATGAAGTCAGGGATGACTAAGACTATATTAACAACCTTCAGAACCGCAAGCCATGGGAGAGACAGTAGAGGTACCTCTGATTTATGTAATTCAAAGTAAAAATGAAAGGAATTTCAATAGAGTATTGTGCTTGTTTTCCCTATGATGAAAAATTATTGAATGTTTTACTAAAATATTATTTTTAAAAACTTGGTAACCTGATCACATGTCTAATTTTTCTATAGACTGGAAAAAAAAATAGGGCCTAATGCACAATATTTGCACTTGGTCTGAAAATGAGTATGCTAACTGATTCCCTGAAGGTTTCCTAGGAAATAGTTTGTGAACATCAGAACCATCTTTAGAATATATTGTATCTTAGTGATATCCCTGTGGAGTGCCCTGAATGATTGTGCCAGCGGAGACTGGTGACTCTTAATTCCAAGTCCAGAGGAAAGAATGGCAATCCATATGGAAGACGGCGATTAAGAAACACTACTGCTTCTAGAATATAAATTACCACCTTGCTCTATACATTTCTTCTTTCCAAAGCCATTGACTGCAGCAGCCTCAGTTTTTCCTTTCTTAGAGCCATAGTCTTCCTCAGCCTTGTGCCTGTGATGTAGCCTTTGATAATTCCTGCAATAAAAACCCACTCATGTATGACATTTAGAAGGGAGGAAAGGTTTAATTTGCCTTGGGGCCCTGGAACCATTATAAAAATGCCTTTAATGAGAAATGAAAGGCAAAGAAAATTAAGGGCTCAGAAACTGACTGAACCAAAAAGGATGCCAAATATCTAGTCATCAGGCTGCTTCTCAATAGTTCTAGATAAAGAGAAGACCATTTAATGTTGTTGTTTTTTTCCCCAAGAATCCAAATCAGTCTAAAAGCAGTTTCGACTGGGAAAAAAGGAAGAATCAGGAGGGCCAAGATGTAGCCTTGCAGTTTCAATGGTCAAAAGGAAGAATCAGGAGGGCCAAGATGTAGCCTTGCAATTTCAATGGTCAAAGCAAGAAAAAAAAAAGTCAAAAGACAGACTTTGGGGATCACTGGAATATAGACATTTAAAGAACAGGACTCTTGTCATTCCATATCACAAACATGCCTACAATTTCAAGAAAATCTCTGCTTTCACTGAGTGGCTCATAATACCAATAAGAGGCTACACTCTTTCCATGAAATCTATTCCAATGAGATATGGCCTGCTCACGTTTTCATTTAACATTCTCTCACTTTCTTCATTTAGCTGTGTCCTATTTCTTATGAGTGGAGTCTTTAGTTATGTACCTTCCTTAGTGACATGTTGAAGGCAGCCACTTTTCTCTCCAAGCCCCTTTCATTGAGTGTGAGCCAAATATCTGTTTCTGATACTCCCTTAAATTCATGGACTCTGTAATTTTTGGCAGAGGACATATTCTAAAAGAGATGGTGACCTTCCATCTCTCCCCACATGTCATTCTGTTTATACCCACTAGTCAGTGCAGTCTATCCAAAAGTTTATGTGGCGAGGAGCTTCCAAGAAAACTTAACTTATAGCAAGGAAAGAAAAATGTTCTTAAGGAGCGATTCCTGCAAATTTATAAGGCATGAAACAGCTTGGCTTATACTCTAGGAAGCCAGGGTCCATCATTGCTGGCAACAGACCCAACTAATTAGTGAGGTCCTCATTTAGACAGCATCAGCATCACTTGAACCCTTGCTACAAATGCAGACCCCAGGCCTACTCCAGGTCTATTGAAAAATAAACTGCAATCCCTATGTGACTCATATTCACATTCATGTTTGAAGATTACTGGCCTGGAGCAGTGGTTCTCAACTTTCAGTGCACGTAGGAGTCAACCAGGCATCTTAAAAACAAATTAATGATGCCTGGGGCCCACCTGCAGAGAGTCAGTTAATCAGTTTGGGGGTGTGGCCTAGGCACGGGGATGTTTAAAAACTGGCCAGAAGGTTCTGAGGTGCGTGGAGGAGTGAGGGCCACTGGCATAGAGGCGGAAGAGGCTATTTCTTAGATTCAGCCGCTCTTTGTTGCAGAGGCAAACTGAGGTTCCTGGAGTCAGAAGCTCTCATTTGTGGTGACCCCCGGTTGCACTGTAAGTACTGGGGGACGTCTCCACGAAAGAAACTTTCTGCCTGGTGTTCTGTAGGTCCCTCCTTCTTTCACCTTCCCCAAGTGGCTGCTCCTGACCCCTCACACCTTGGCGAACCACACCAGTGGCCAATAGCAACTGGTGTTTTAAACATACAAACTTGGAGCCCCATTTGAGACCTACAGCAGGAGAGTCTGCATCAGCTTCTGCTTCAGATTCTATAGCGTCTGACTTCATTCCCAGGTGTGTCTGATGCACAGCCAGGTTTGGGAGCTCGTGAACGCCACAGTAGGTCTAGCCTTTCGCCACGTGAAGTCATTAAGGATTTGTAAGAATGAATGAACTGTCAAGAGTGTAAAGGCCTGGTGCAGTGCTCCTTTATTAATTATGGGGAAGTGATGTATTGGCAATGATAATGCTTCTCTTGGAAAGGGCAATGAATGGTTCGTCGATTGCTGCATTAGGTCTTTCCCAACTCAAGCCTCGGCTTTTACTCCTCACTGTAGTTTAAAAGCAGCATAGCTTTCACAGGAAACGGCCTCTGGATCTGTATTCCCAGGTGAGCCGCATCTTTGAGGGAAATACCAACACAGAATCTTTCCCTGTTCTTGGCGGGGGGACACCTTCCCCCCAGTATCCCTGTTTGCTTGTGTCAGCATCTAATAGCCAACGTAGAGTTGTGCATATCTGATACGTAGGAAAAACACAGGGTGAGGATTAAAAAATCATTGATATATGCTCAAATCCTTTTGCTAAAAGAAAGCTTCCTTTAGCAGAGAGGCAGGAAGTGGGGGAAGAAAGATAGCTGGATTAACAAAGTCAGAGGTGAGAAACGGGTAGGCGAGTTGGGGGTCAGGGTTCTGTCCGCAGATGAGGCGAAGAGGGTTCGAAAGAAAAGTTGCAGCGCCTGTGTGCGCGTGTCATCGATGGGCTGGCTGCGGGAGACAGCGCTAGCGCGCGGCCAGAACGCACTGCGGGGCCGAGTGCCGACAGGAAATCGAAAAAGCTGTTCAGCGGCAGAGGCCGGGAGGCTCGAAGGGCTCCCCACACGCTCGGTGCTCCAGAAGCGCGCCGGCTCTGCCCCGACGCGATCGCCCGGGGAGCCCGGGGGGGGGGAGGGGGCGCGCAGGGGGCCCCGGGGCGTCCGGCGGCCGCGGGGCCGAGCGCGCGTGTGAGCGAGTGCGAGGCTGCGGGCGGGCGAGTGTGCGCGGGAGGGAGGGAGGGAGGGGGAGCGCGCGCGCCGCCCGGGCCCCGGCCCTCCCAGCCTCCCGGCCTCCGCGCCTGCCTCCCGCCCGCGCGCACCGCTGTCCGCCGCCGCCGCCGCTCCCGATCGCGCCGGCGCTGCACGGGAGTCAGCCTGCCGCCGCCGCCGCCGCCGCCTGCTTTGTGCTTCCCACAGAAGATGGGAGCGACCTCTTCCTGATCGGGAGCTGTTTAAAAGAAGGGAGTGCTCCGTGTTTCCTACTAGCGTGGAGGAACGGAGAAGAATCCATTCACACTCCCCAAACCAGGTAGGATCTTAGGATGGGCAGGCAGAAGGCATTTGGTCCGAGACCCAGAACTATTTTCCATTTGCTGCTCATAAGGCTACACTTCCCTCTGCTTTGGTAAACGAGCGGCGTCTAAATGGTGTGTGTGTGTGTGTGTGTGTGCGCGCGCGCCTGCACATTTTTCTGGGTGTCCGCGCTTCTCAGAGTGAAATTGCTGGAGCTGGTGCGTCTGGGCGTGAGGGTGCCTGCCTGCCAGTGCAAGCTGCCGGAGGAAGAAAGGGCTGCTAAGGAGAGATGCTGCACCCTGCACCGCGCTGGGCTCTGAGGATTCAGGGCGCGAAGAGCTAAGTCCACCCTGAACGCAGCGCTGCTGGGGATCCAGCCTTCCCCACCCACTGGACTCTTCTCCACGGCGATCCCTCCTCCCGGTAATCCCTGGGGTCTTTCCCCAAGGCCACACTTCCGAGCCCCCTCTTTTCCAGCGGGCGTTGGGTGCTCATTCACCACGGACTGCAGAGAGGAGGGAGGTGTGGCGGAACAGAGACAGACGAGGAAGAAATGTAGGGGGTAGCGGGGAGTGGGCTTCAGGGTCCACGTCTCTGGGCACTGCGCCTTGGTGTGCTTCGGGGATTCTGCACACACAGGCATCTTTCCCCAAGAGATTGGAAGTGAACTTTACAGCTGCATTCTCTGCCTCTGGAGCTTTGCTGGCTCTTGGAGGAAATGGTCTGTGTTCTGAGATGTGAAGATATCCTTTTTGGCTCCTCCTTAATGAAGAAGAGGGCGGTCTTAGAACTGGACAGCCGGCCAAAGAAAGCAAATCCGCCCAGGCGATGCGCTTGAAAATATAGTATGTGTGCATCCTTGATTCTTTAAAACCACCCCCTGCATCACCCCCCGCCCCCCCCCCACCCCATGGATTCTGTTGCTGTTTGATGAATGGCTTGGGCTGGCAATTCGTATTTCCCTCTCCAGAGTGGCAGTGGTTGAGTTGAGAGCAAGGGTGATGAAATTTAACAAAGCATTTTTGGAAGAGAGCAATGTGCATGTTGTATGCAGTCACTGGAAAGTCATGCTTTGCACTAGGTACCCTTTTAAAGCCCCTAAACCTGGCTCCTCTGAAGGCGCTCTGTATATCGCCTGCTAGTCAGCTACTAGTGGTTGTGAATATAACAATACAAACTTTGTCCTGCTGGAGGTGTAAAGACTAAAAAGAGAAAAAAGGATATCAGTGGGAGGTGTAGTGGAAGAAGCTTTTTTAAAAATGACAGATGTGGTGAAGACAGTACAAGCGTCCTGATCATGGAGGAGCCTCTAGCTGAGTAGGTGGAGATTTCTGATCAGATCTGGTGAAAGGCATTGCTGGAGTATCTCCAGATAGGAGCACTTGAACATGTACAATCTGAGACTAGTGTGAAGATTTCCCAAGGGAACGAGGGAGTCACCAGGAGAGAATTCTGAAAGTATACCTCTATTTCCCATGTCACCACCATCTCTCTCTCTCTCTCTCTCTCTCTCTCTCTCTCTCTCTCTCTCACACGTACACGCACACGCTTTCTCTTTCTCTCTCAAAGCTACTCTTGCAGCTAGTCAAAAAAAGGAAGATGTTTCATTCATTTCAAATGAGAAGACAAAGCCAGAAGAGGGAAGATTGGTTTCAGGTTCCTCTTTCAAATCCTGTGTTACTTGGGTTGAGCTCTCTGGGTTTGCTAAACTTGCTTAATTGGAAGGTTAGGCGGGTGTGAAAGCAGGAGGAAGGAAGGGAAAACTAGCTCCATCTTTGGGGCCTTGTGAGTGAGAAGGTGGGGGAGGACCCACTTATTTCTTCAAGAAGCAAGATGTGTGCTCTTAGATGGTTTTCATTGTACAAATTCTGCCTGCTTGAAGAATTCCATTTGGATCTCAGGCCTCTTTAAGATTTCTCACACCTGCTATAAAAGGAGCCTCGATTTTTTCCCCTTAAAATGGCTGTTGTCTTTTTAAAAAATGGAATGATTAATTCCTAGAAAAACAGCAACAACAACAACAAAAAAAAAACTGGGCAGAGATAAACCATTATGTATTGTTGAGCTGTATCAGGCTGCAAGGGATGTAAGAGTGTCCATGATGATCAGACTTAATCTACTCTGTCTTGAAAGCTTAACAGGGTGAAAGAGGAGAGTAATGAACTAAAATGCCATGAAGGCTGCATTTTCTATTTATTTACCTATCTGTTTACTTTATTATTCTATAATGGTTTCTACTGTAATGCTTCAGGTTAAGAACTAGATAGCTCTTTTGTTGACCAGGGGAAGAAAAGAGCATGGCAGTAACAGTGCTTTGACTCCCAGTAAAATTACAAAAGGAAGGTGAGGAATAGTCAGTAACACCTATAGGACTATTTGTGGGAATTAGGTGCATTGCTCTATTAAGCTTATTATGTTTTGAAGAAAATAACATGTATTCTAAGAGAACTTCAGCATTTGTTAAAAAGCAATGCTTAACATGCTTTTGCCAAAATAGACTTTTATTTACCTGCAAAATAAACGCATGATTCCTTTCCTCTTAGTATTCAATCTATTTCTTTGACAAAATAAATGATGAGAGAAGCTCTGCAGATCCAAGGAAGTTGCAATTCCCCTTTAAAAAGCAAGTCAAAGCATTCATTTAGCTCGTAGATGTGGTTGTCTCAAAGTAAGTGCATTTTGGGACATTCATGTCTGTTTTATTATATTGCAATTCTGTGAGTTTCTTTTTCACGATGCCTTTAGGTAGAGGGAGAATAGTAGATAAGAAGGAGTCTGCCCTAAAAACATGGAAATAAACAAAATTCAAACTGAAATGTAAATTAAATCAGGAAAAAGAAATACAACCTCTAAAAGAGGCTGTTAAAGCACATGTGTTGCATGTTTTATATTTCTGTAGTATGTGCGTATATTGCTTTCAAGTAAATACTAAATTGTCACCTTATATTTGCTAAGAATTTAGGAATCAGCGTGCTGTTATCTCCCTACTCTTCCTGGTCCCTTTATCTTTTTGTTTTTGCCTCCAAGGATAAATGTGTTTTGCTAAAATATTTTCCAAATATCATCCATACTTCTAGTTAAATCCTTCATGGTAACTTCCCATACCTCATAGTTGGACCACTCCTCATAACCCCTACCAAATGGTCTCCCATCTGACCAAATTCTACTGCTCCCTCTTGTGGCAAACATTCTCTCTGACTTTCTCTGGGTTCCAGAATCCTATCTGACATCACTTACGGTTCCCTTAGCTGTGTATCCCTTTGGCTCTAATTCTTGGTAGTAACGGTGGCTAACAATACCAGTGGAGCTCTATACTAGCTGTTTCCACTTTTCTCTTTAAAGGAAAGGATTTCTGTTCCTGAGAGATACAGCTGAGATTTAGTGAAAATAAATGTCAGGTGTTTTTTGACCCACTGGGATGGACTAGATTCTGAGAATGTGAGCTTTCAGCGTCTGCCTTTGAGATTTGGATTTGGATTCAGGACTAGTCCACTGGGGCCTCATTAAGTGCAGTGGGATTATTTTCAGTTTTCTTTCTTTCTCTTCCAAAATCTTTCTCTTTTTCTCTGTCTCATTGTCTCTCCCCGGCCTCCCCACTCTGTCACCCTCTATGCACACATATACGTTACAACATGCATTTTATGCAATATTTTGAAGACTCAAACTAATCAATGATTAGGTTCTCAGCAGTTCTTGTTAATCAAACAGTCCATTTTCTGATGTATTTTTCCAGTGTATTGACTTAACTTCTAAGACAGTTGCTCATTGTCCTTGATGCCTCAAGTGATTTTTATAGGTTCTCTTTGCAGAGACTGTATTGAATGCTAGGTATTTTATATTTGTGATTCTCCTTTGATCTGCTCAGCCAAGAGAATACGCAGTAACAAGACAAAGGTTTAAGTAAATCACGTTTCTGCCTTATCTGAAACTTTCTAGTGAATTTCAGGAGAAGGAAGAGAGCATGTAGAAGGGGAAAATCTCTGGCAGCTGAAGCAAAGAAAATGCTTTTGTGATCAAGGGCAAGTTCATTGTAGGCAGCAGTCTATACAGTGATTTGAGGGTGGGAAAAACATTCCCGGGTTCAAAGCATTTATTCCTTGGCAAACATAGGATCTGAAACTTTCACTATTGGAAGCATTCGTTTGAGTAAAGGAATTCTATCTAGTAGACTCTAATAAAATGAAATATTATCCAGGAAGGAGCTGTTGTTAATTCTAACAAATCATTAGCATATGTTCATTTTTTAACTTGGTTTGGTTTATCAGGTCAGCTGGCAGACAGAAAGTCCTGAGGGCCTGGAACACAGGAAAATACAGAGGATGTGAAAGAGGTTTAAAACTAGGTTGCTGCCCAGTCAGTGCACTCAGAGGGCCATTTCGGTGGGGAAGTTTAGGGGACGTGAGTGCCCGGGAATGGGGATATTGATGGACGTATAGAGAATAGCCAGACAAAGGCAAAGATAAACTCTCCAAAATTTGGCTCCTACAGCAACAAGGGTAATAAAAATTTTGATCCTTTCTTGAAAATTTAGCCATTTTAAGTCCTCTGAGGAACGGGTAAAGTATTTTCCCTAGAGTGAAATTATGTCTTAAAATCTTAAATGGATTCTACTGCATATTTTGCAATATATATTAATACCCGTAACCTAGAAAACGCTACCAATTTAGACAAATGGCTTCTTACACATGTAATAGATCTAGGAAACTAGATGTAAATATTAAAGATCATCTTAATTTTTTATAAAAGACAAAGAGTAATTACTTTGTTGATATCATTGCGTGGGAAGTCAGAATAATTAATAATTTCCTGGTTGGATCCAATGTGAGAGGAAGTCAAACAGACAAGGTAGTGATTCAGCAATTTATTTCACCCAACCATGATATTTATGGAGCACTCAGTGTACACAAGGCCCTGTGGTTGGCTTTTCAAAGAATGCAAATGATGAAGAAAAGTTAGTAACATTCGTTGACCACTTTTAATGTGCCAGGGACTAGTCTGAATGCTTTATAAATATTT